ATCAAAACCAGTTTAAACCAGTATGAAACCTGAAATTATGCATCTCATTATCCAGATTCTTGGATAACGGCACTACAAAAGAAATACACGATTTCTGCAGAGTCTCCTTTCCTTCTCTCGCCCGTATAGGAGTTAAAAGGAGACTCTGCTCGCAGGGTAGACACAAGTGAGCTTGCTCGCTCAAGTATGTAAAGTCAACCGTTTCTAGGAACTGAACAATTCCGACGTCTATGTATAGACAATAGCTTAGTATAGTCAATTCTGGGAAATGTACATATTCTTTGATGACTCGAGAGAAAACRAGAGAAACTACATTCGATCACTTTAAGCAAAAACCTTGCAGTTTTACCTTTTTTAAAAAAAATCGGTACCAAAACAATGATAAGAACTTCCCTAACAAACTCAAAACTCCTCTATGTTAGCCATATATATTCGTTGGCAATGGATTTTTTTATTTTATTTTGTTTTCATAATTTTAACTAGCTTGGATAATTAGCTGAGTTCCAAATTTTGGGAGGCAGGAAAACTTGAAAAATGGGGGAGGAGAGTAACTGAAAAATTAAAGGCAGCCATGGTTGAGACAAACAAATTTCAGCACAGTCTATAGTAATAATTTTATAATAGGTACAATTCATATCCATATTTGTTCATATCCTTACAGGKCTATTTACTAGCTAGCAATATTTGCAACTATTTATAGTAAATGGGCTAGCAAGGATCCCTATGTCCAAATATGGATATGACTTGACCTTATCATTCCAAAACAAATACTAGCTAATACTATGACTAGCATTTTTAGCTCAAAAAAGGGTTTTATATTAAAACAATAAAATTTAATTAAAAATAAAAACTTGGAAGAAAGTAGTGTAGGGGATGGGGGTATCAGCGCAACTCTGATCCGAGTAATCCCCGTCTAAAGTCCGCGTGCGGGTAATACCCGTGCGACAACGACGCAGCGCAAATCCCATCCCAGTCTATATGTGAAGRCCCAAGTGTGGGGCTTGAGATCTCATGTATATATATGAGGTGTGAAGAATGTAAGGAGTTTGTTCAGAATATGTGCGTTAAGTGTCTTAATCCGCCCCTCAAGCCCACCAAGCCCGCTAAGTATGTTTGCCGTGGTAAGAAGATGCAAATAGAAGATGACACGTCAGCGCAATGTTACGAGTATGGTAAAAATATCGCAAACGCCGTACCAAATGCTACGAGGGAGCAATATTACGCCAATGGAGGTCGTAAGAAAACACCTTATAAGAGAATAAAATACTTTAGGGACTGGATGAGTCACATCCAAGGTTATCGCCCCGTGTACCTTGACAACGAAGTAATGGAAATGATTGCGCTTAACTTAAAAGAACCAACCCCGCAAAGCTTAAGGAAGACATTGAAAAAATTAAAGCTAGGGAAATATTACAAAGGTATTCCCTAATTTTTGTCTGAAATTACCGGTGACTCTATTCCCGAGGTTTCTGAAGATACTATGAAAAGGGTCGAGTGGATGTTTTGTCGGCTGGATAAAGATTTTCCTTATTACCCCGACGTAATCTACGAGATATTCCACGAAATCGACCCCAACCACCCCCTCTTGGGATGGATTCCAAGAAGATAGTAGATCTTATGCCATAAGATGAGTGAATAGCATAATTCTTATGGCATAAGACGATGCTATGATTTATGCTTGACGCGTATTATGCCATCAGATGAGTGAATAGCATAAATCTTATGCCATAAGGCGATGCTATGATTTATGCTTGACGCGTATTATAAGGTCATGCCATGGATACGCGTGTCGTTACGCATAATTTCCAGACTGACGTTCGATATATATGAATTAAAACCCGTCTGGCTTTTTTCAAAGCAAATATTTACTGAGCGAGCTTTCTTTGAAGCTCCTCTATGGTGGCCCATTGTTATCATCCATTTTTTACCCAATATTTTTCACTTTTATTTCAATTTTCATTTTAAATCCTATATTATCTCTTTTTCTATTTTGATTTTGATTTTTTTTTTAAATAAAAAAAAATAAA